TCAGACACACAAAGGGTAGGGGAGCTACAGCTTTGCCACCCATCTGGGCCCCGGGCAAGGAGCAGGGCTATACGTGGAGGAAAATCAGTAATTGCCCAGGGTCCCAAGAGGGCAAACTTTGACCATGGTTACGATAGAGGACAAGGCAGCTGAGGAGGAAGGTCACAGAATCGTCACCTCCCAAGGAGCTCTGGGAAAGGCAGCTCTTCCCCTGTCACTAAGACTGGATAAAGGGGGAGGCAGCACCCACCGTCCTTCTTTTAAATTCTCTTCACATCTACGCTTACACTTCTGGGTCTGGGAGTCTGTCTTCTGTGAAGCTCTGTGTCCGCATGAACGAAACTTCTTACCATCAGTACGCGTCTCCCTTATTGGAGAAGGGATGTCTCAGTATCCTGTAAACTCGCATTTCTTAGATGTCATTCAAAACATACCCCAAAAAGCCATCACAGTGCCCTAAACAAGGGAGTTTTAATCCAGGGTCAGTAGACACTGGCCATCCAAAAATCCGAAAAGCTCTAAAAGCTTTGTAAACTACGCAAACATGTACATTTCTCCGGGAGTCAGCATAGCCCTCAACAGATTCTCCAAAGGGTTTATGACACGCCCTCCCCCCCAAAAAAAAGCTTTAGTGCCATTGTCTAATTTATCCAAAATCATACGGCCCAGGCTGAAAAGAACATGCGATTTTTAAAAAGAGAATTCTTTTAGGCATCTGATTCTACAGTGTTCTCAATCATCTTGAAACCTTCTTGGTGAAAAATCCTATTTACCTTCATTCCTATTTCACAGATTACCTAATCAAATTCCTAAGGAATTAAAGTTACTATCTCATCTAAGGAAAAACTATAGGTTCCTGGGCAGAACCGAAGCTAAGTAGGTTAATAGCCATACCCACGGCTCTCAGTGACGCCTATCTCCCACTGTTAATACCCTGTCATAAGTAAGTACCACCCACCAAGCCCTGTGTTGGGCACTTTACATACATGACTTATTTAAACGTCTTAGCCACTCTGCAAGACACAATCTCATTTCTCGACTTGAGGAACCCAAAGCTCAGAGATGTTCAACAAATGACCAAAGATCAGAGCCCTGATAAGCGTCAGAGATGGGATCGGGCCAGGTCGGCCTGACTCCTCCGTTCTGCACCGGGATCTGCTCTGAAACTTGGATCCTCACAAGAGAAACACGGGTCTTCTAGTGAGGGACAGTTTCTTAGACATCTGCGTACTCCCCCACAGGGCCTCGCCAGGCTTTGTGCGGCAAGGCCCTTGGTAAATACGGACTCCGGCTCTAATCCCGCCACAGACGTACTGACTCAGCCCTGAGACTTGGAGCTACAGGTGGTTACTCAGCTGAGCAACTGCAGGGAACATTTGCAATCAATTACGGGTGAGGAGGAACCTTTTAGAAGTTTCTCTTCTGTGTATGCCGGGGTTGAAGGAGGGGAAAGGAAGTTGAGAAGGAGGGAAAGGAACAGGGTGGTTTCGGGGTTGGGTGCTGGAGCTTAAGGATTTCACATCAGGATGGGACAGAATTTGGCTTCTGTCCGCTGCTGAGTGAGTTCCAACGGCCCAACCAAATGGGCCTGTGGCCTCAGGCTACTTCTCCGTGGCGCCACGTCCTAAATGGCCAGGTCCCTGAATAGTGAGTTTTATCCAGACCCCCTATGCTGGAGCAGTAGCACACAGTCCTTTCCTACCTCCCGTTGCCCTGCTCCAGAGCACAGGCCATAGGCAACTCTGGAAGGCCTTACCTTGGGGGGTGGGGGGGCTTAGGAGGGTGGGGAGACAGCACCATCATGACCCCTCTAGGGGCCAGAGGCAACCTCAGCACCTGAAGTCTGTGAGGCCTGCATTGTCCTCGGCCCTGAATAAAAGGATTCCAGCAATCCATTCTGGAGTCCAACTTCCTATTTTGGAAGAATGTGGGAGCTTGGGGTGGAGGGAGGAGGTAACTCGAGTTGATTTTGTTTTCTTTACTAGTTGTTGCAAGTGCAAGTTAATCACAACCCCACAAAAATGCCACTTTAGCCCTTTCACATAGGCCTTGCAAAAAGATTTGCGTAAAGCCAACCTTAAGGGATGCCTACCAACACCACTCTGGGAGGGGATGATAAAATACCGCCCAGAGGCCAGGGCAGGGACGGCAATCCAAGAAACCCAACGCATTCCCCACGACGTGGCTTCCAAAGAGCCGCCTACTCTCTTGTGCATGAGGCAACACTGCCACCTAGTGCCCCGTGTGGGAAGTATTCCCTGAGGCCCCACATGGTGCGGGGTGGGGGGGGCGGTGCTCCTTCACAGGGGCTGGTGTGGTTGAACTGCTTGACATCTCTACTGAACGGGGAAAACGCCCCAAGTTTGGGAGATTGAGAACTGGGATGCTGGGTGTAAGTAGTAGAAGCTGAGGTCCAGAGTCTTCGGGAAAGAGGATGGGAGTCAAGTCTGGGAAGGAGAGCTCCTCAGAGGAGAGGCAGACCTTCAAAGACTGAATTGTGATTACCTCTCAGGAACTCCATCCAGTTGTTATTCCGCGCAGGTGAAGACTCACCCGCCCAGGAACAGGCAATGACCAGCTAGAGAACCAGCTCCGGGTAAGAAAGGAAAGATGGTCTGGTCTGTTGATAGGAGTGAGTAAATTCATGCAAATCAGAGACCTTGCACTACCTTTGGCCGCCTCACTACCCTCAGCCATGGGGCCCATAGGGGAAATGTAAGCAGCTAAACACGGTGAACAAAGAGGCTGCTAAAATCCTGGAGAATGAAGGCCTTGTTCCTAGCCCCCATCTTTCCCAGAATTTTATCCTAAATCTTTCCTGAATATGTTCTGATGTGCACAAGTCTAAAGAAAGATAGAGTGTGGAAGGTGGAGAGGAGCTAGACCTGGGTATTCCCTGCCCTCAGCCTTCCTGGTGTGGACCTCAAGGGGAAATACCAGTACACCACAGGGGCTGCTTTGATTTGAAGAGAAAGAAGCCTCAGAGGCTAGACTGTCTGCAAAAAGGCTTCCTGCCCAATTTTACATGCTTCCGGAGGGTTCCGAGGGGCACTTTGGAGACGGCTCTGAGTGTGTGTGCTGTGGCAAGGTGGGGGGCAGGTGGCTGTCGGCGGACAGGTGGGCGAGGGAGGGAACTGTACGTGCGGCAGGTGGGGAGGTGCGAGGAGCCATGCCAGAACTGGAATCAGGTCTTGCCACCACTCTCCGGGCCGTGAGACAGGACGTGGAAGGGACAGGGCAGAGGACAGGTACCCACTGTCCTGAATCTGTTTCCTCGGGTTTGGGTTTTAATAACCGAAAGCAATAGCCTCTGAGAGCCTCGCTCATATATTCCTGTTGGATCCCTCTCTAAGTCTTCACAGCCAGGGAACTGATCCCAGGTCCCTCTGTTGCTACAGCCGGAGGAGGGGTAAGCGGAGTCGTGGGTCTCGGTCTAGACGGCAAGCACACAGTTTCCCTGGCAGATGGGTACTAGGAAGCGAGATTAGGCAGCAAGAAGATGTCATCTGGGAAAAGCTTCGAAGCTGCCAACTCTGATCAGATAATCATCTCATTATTTCTTCCATTTGGCCCCAGAATAAGGATTTCCTTCTACTTTTTCTCTGCCCCCACCTTCTTACAGCCCAGCCCCTTCTCTCTCCCCTCCTCTCACCCCCTCTCCCACCCAAAAATAAAATAAAGCAAAACCACAAGACTCTAGAGGGCTCAGTGTCTGGGAATCCCAGCTTCCAAAGGAGAAATCACAGCCAAAGAGGGGGAGACAACGTGTCCAGAAGGGATGTTCCAGCAACACCCCATTGAAAGAGGCTCCCTCCTTCCAGATTTCTTTCTCCAGTCTGAAACTTATTTGCAGGCATCCAGCAACCTGAGAAGTTTTTAATTTGGGAAGTTGTCAAGCACTTCGGGAGCTCTGGGGTCCCATTCCTGTTCTGCCTCTGGCACACCTCTCGTTGATTTGGTTTCCCCACCAATGTAAATGGGACTGGCAAGCATCAGACGGCGTTATAGATAATCCAAATTAATGAGATTAAAATGGATCTACCATGTGCCTAGCCTTGTGTGAGGTTCTTCCATGGGGGGATCCAAAGAGATAATGACACAGAAAATGAAGACCTGTTATGTCTAGCCATCATTCCTTGCTTGAAACCAACACCACCCCCACCAAACACACACCCCCAGTAAGGAAAAGGAGATAGTCATTCCTAACGCCACTCTTTTCTTTGTCCTTCTGGGTGACTTTCCATGAAAGCCAAGATCTGGGCATAGTGGAAAACACATAGGCAATGTTCTGAGATATTACCTCTGATCAAAACCACAGTTACGCATGGTTCCTTTTTAGGTCCCTCATCCAAGAGCCAGCGCTAGACACCAGGGTCCCGGCTTGTGCGAGCCAACCTCTTCCAGCAGCCCCTGCTGTTCTTAGACTGGATGCATGTTAGGACAAGCATCCAGTCTTGTCCTGGACCCAGCGGGACTCCAGGACCCCGACTCGATAGGCTTTCTGCTATAGTTCCAGGGCTGCTCAAAGAAAAGGGACCCGCCAGAGTTCTCCCTCGGCCCGGCCCCGCCCCCACGGCTCACTGCGCAGGTCGTGGTCCTGACCCGTAGCTGCGAAGTTGCCTGGCTCTCTCAGACTGGACTAGAAGAAATGGAGTGTGACACTTCTTTCCCATTGACAACGAACCAGAGATCTTCCCCTTTAAAGATGGGGTAAGGAGCGAGCTGGAGGTCTCCTAAGTGCACGAGCGATGTATAGAACCACACGAGATCGATACTCATTGGGACAAATGCTCTTGTGGTTACAGAGTCATTATTGTAGATGATGTCTAGAGTCCTGCTGTGCTGATGGATAAAGGCCCTTCCCCCTCTCTCCCTGGCCAGCCCCTCCTGGCTTTCCTGCCCCTGCGCCCTTCCTCTCCTTGTCCCTTGTGTCTAACCCAGGCAAACATAAAGCCAGCCACTCCCCCAGGGACCTCGGAAAGCCCAGGCACCACCGTTACCTGCAATGATGGCTGGATTGTTCTGTCCTCCCTCTGGTTTCACCCAGGCTTCCACTGTGAACGCCTCCCGGGGAATCTCAGCCAGCACTTCTGGTCGCAGCAGCAGCCGCCCCCGCCTCCCCGAGAAGTATAAGACAGGCAGTCCTCCGTGGGGGTTAAGGGTCTCTGCTTCCCAGTGGGGGTCCCCTCCACCCTTCTGGATGCTGTCCTGGGTCAGACTGGTCCTGACCCCGTGCACAAGGGGGTGCTTAGGCCAAGGTTGGAAATGCCGGGGAGAGACACCCGGGTCTCCCCGCACGCCCCCCGCCTGCCCCTTCACCACCTGGCGACGATGCCTGGTCTTGACCCGGCCCTTCCTTCGGCTGTCTGGCTGGGGTTCCTTTGGGCCCACGAAGGTGGTGGTAACGGTGGCAGCCGTGGCTGAGTGCTCCTGAGTCTCAGCCTCACCTGGAATGGCCTTGGATCCTCCATCGCCGAGATAAGTGTCCCGGTCTCCCCGCAGCTCCGACCACCCAGTAGGACCATGCCAGACCCATGGGGTGGCCGGCTGCTCAGCTTCACCCCTCAGCCCCACACTTCCATCCAGGCTTGTGGCCAGACCCCTCGGGGCATCTGGCTTACTGTGTCCTGCATGGCGGGTTCCCTGACCCCCCACAGGGTAGGGCCTCAGGTGGTCCCCAGGCCAGCTGGGGTAGACCCCAAAGAGGTGATGCTGGGGAGCAGTTCTGGGTCTTCGCAGCTTGGCCCCCAGCCAACAGCGTTCTCCTTCCGACAGCACCTGGTTCAGGTGTCCCCTCTGAGCCAGGGCTCTCTTGCGTGTCCAGCCCGGCTCAGAGCTGGCAGTACTGAACGCGCAGCCGGCCAGAATCACCAGGCTGGTTCTCAGGATCTTAAGACACATCATACCTCCCCCAGCTCTCTCTCTATACAGAACCAGAAGTCAACTTCTGGGTACCACACGGGAGTGATGGGGAGAAGAGCAAGAGACGGCTAGCAGTGGATTCGCAGTCACCGGGGAAACTGTTTTGTTCACAGACCAAACTTTTAGGAGCAGCCCCGAAAGAGTGCCTCTTCTGGCTACCGGCAACCAGTGCTGTGCCTCCCTCTCCCTTCTCCCTTGACCTGGCTCTCCTGACTCTAGTTTAGTCCTTGCAGAACGAAGAAGTTCATTTCTCCGGGTTCCCTGGAACCTCCTCCTAGGGAGCTCAGGTTTCTTCCTTTCTTTCTTTTCTTTTTTTTTTTTTTTTTTCTTTTTTCTTTTGGGTCCCTTCTTCAATAGCCCCTCCTCCCACTGATCCTAGAGGAGGGACACACAGACGGGAGCCAAGCCCTCTCACACACACACTCCCTCACAAACTCACACCGCTCCCTACCTGAAGTCATGAAAAAGACACTAATCTCATTTTCATTTCTTTCTCCTTCTTCCTTCCCTAAGAGCTCCGTTCTTTCTATAGCTCTTAACCTAAGCTACATCCACCTTCAAACAAATCCCTAGAGCAACTTGCATCCAGAGACACAGAATTTGATGCTTCTTTCTAAAACTGCAGAAGGAACCTGCGGGCACAAAAATCCAAGCTGGTACTTAGCTTCTGCTCTCCAGAGGTCCTCCTCAGCCAGAGCCCCCAGCCAGCCGCCAGTTTGCCTGTGCAGGTCAATGTTCCCCTCAGCTTGCTGCTTGGGCTTGTGCTGTGTTGAAGGCTTTTTAATCCCCTTCCAACTTGTTGGTATGTTGCAAGTCTCCGTAAAGTTCTCCTTGGGGATGCCAGTCTGGTGTCCTAATAACCTTATGAGTCTGAGAGCCCTTGACTTCACCTTCTGGGAGTCTTGTGTGTCCCTGGGCAGATGGGAAAGAGAGCGAGAAGAGCATGGACTTCAGGGGACCTGTTCTCTCCGGTGCCTCCTGCTCTCCTCTCTCCCTCTCTCTCTCTCTGCCTGTAATTATCTTCTTGTTTGTTTCATTTAAAGACAATGATGATGTCAAGCTAATAAGTTTGGTGCATCACTCCACCTACTCCCTGTCCCCTCCTTCCTCCTGAAAACCTCCCTGCCTCACCGAGGCACAGGGGACAGACGCTACTCCTGGTTTCCCCAGTAAACATCTCGGGCTTTCTCTCTCAGCAGCTGCAGCCTACACAATCAATAGCAATCAATACTGTCTTAGAGCACTCTTTTCGGTGTGTATTCTCTCTCTCTCTCTCTCTCCCTCTCTCTCTCAGACACACACACACACACTCGCACATGTGTCGTGAACAGATATGCTCACTGTCTAATAACAGCCCCCCCCACCAGCCATTCAGGGACCACTTGCTTCTCTTTCTTTTGTTTTGTCACAAGCCTCCTGTATTTTTTTCCTTATTTCAATCATTTGGGATTCAAAAGAACAATACCCCAAATTCACTTTATATTGGACATCGGGAAAAAGAACAAATCAATTAGCCTGCCATAAGCAGCATTACATGGGAATGCCATGAATTCTCACTACGTAGATCTTCTTCCCTCTGAAGTTTCTCACTCTGAAGTTACTAAAAGTCACCATATGCTGAGTGAGCAAATAAACAAATGAGATGCTCAAAATAAGTAATTTACAAGAAATGAACAGCTAGACCCAAGCAACTATTTTTTTTTAATTGACTTGAAATGAATGGAGAGGATGGGGAAGTAAATACTGTGACTCCAGCCTCTGTACTAATGTTTGCCTAGAGGGAGGCTATCTCAGAGTCCCACCCCTTAAACACATGGACATGTACACTACACACACACACACACACACACACACACACACACACACACACTGAGAGCATGGTTCTGAATTCTGAACATGGTGGTGGGGGGCAGTGAGGATATTTGACCACAGGTGGGTACAAATCAGGTAGAGAAATATATTGGGTCCTTCCTTCACTAAGAAAAGTTACTTACAGTTCTAAAATCCCTGCCTATATTACCCACACATAAAACACACAGCCCACACACTTTGGAGTAAGATCGCAATGCCTCTTTTGCCTTGAGACTTCTCGTCTTCTAAACTCCTCTAGCCCTGCTAATAACGGACTTGTTTGCGTCCAGCATGCTGTGCCCTAATTACCCACCCCCTGGCATACCCAGTCTCCCTGCGCAGCAGCCACTGGAGCCTCAAAGCAAGTCCCCAAAGACGAGATCAATTCAGGCACGTGGACATTACTAAACAGAAATCCCTTGATCCTAGACTGTCCTTTTCCCTTTTATTGTTTTCCTATCTCCCTTCACTCCTTCTGACTTAGTCCTTTTCTTTCTCTTTTTCTTTTTCTTTTTTTTTTTCCCCCTGAAGTAGCTCGAAAGAGTTTGGGGCTTTGGAAGGGAGTAGAGGGAGATGTAGAGGAAGACAGAAAAGCAGAGGAAAGGGGGGTGGGGAGAGAGAGGGAGAAGGGGAGAGGGAACGAGGGAGGGAGAGAGAGAGAAAGAAAGAGAGAAAGAAACACTAGGAAAGAAAAGAAGGAAAGAGAGGAACCTTAGTGTAAATGAAGAAAAGATCCTCAGGTAAGAAAAGCAGAAAACTTGCCCCCTCCTTCATGCCACCCCCATGACCCTCAGAAAAAGGTTCCATACCATTCATTTCAGGAAGGAGGGATAACACAGCAAGGAAGAATTCCGCCTGCTTTTCTGCCCCTGTTAATGTGTGAATGATCTTGCGGTCCCTATAGGTCTCTCCTGGCTCTCAGCAGCTAGTAATCCATTCATAAGGTTTCAAGAAGCTATACAAAACTCAAGCTTCCAGTTTAGTTTCTCTCTCTCCCCTTCATTCCTTTGCTCACCACTCTCCTTCAGCTCTTGGCAGTCCAAAGTTTAAAAAAAAAAATGTTGAACCATTTCTGTGTTTTCCTCCTGTTGTAACTTTTGCTGTGACATCATAACCCTGCCCACCAACACCCCACCTCTCGCTCTCCTTTCCATCCCCCCCCTCATCAGCCCCAGACCCCCCAAAGCACCCCCCCATGGAGAAGAAGGGCTCCTGTCAGTTCCAACGTGTGAAAACACAAAGCTACTAGAAGGTGCCCCTCTCTCCTCTCCCCTCCGTCCCCCTCCCCTCTCCCCCTCCCTGCCTTACCCACCGCTCAGCCACGGCTCTCTCAAGGCTTGGAACAATAATCCCATCTGTTTGACATGTGCGGAAAGGTGGGCTGGATTCAAATAATCTGTCAAGTGGATCAGATAAAAAAACCCAGCAGCCCCCTCCTCAATTCCATCACACATACGCACGCACATCATACCCCAGCAAAAGTGGGAGAGAAGTCGGCCGAGCACAGCACCCACCCTTGATGCCAGGGAGACACCACACATGCCAAAGGCAACGCACATTTATATATACATAAATTCTGTGGCTTATTTGTTTATGACAAACACCGGCACCCCGAGCCCCTCTCCTCTTCCCCAAGTCCTGCCACTCCGCAAGTGCACAGATTGGAAAGCTGGTAGAATCTGTTTTGAAATATCCAACGAGAGGGTTTTTCCCCCTTTTTTTTCACTCCCAAGCACTATCTGTGGCGATCAGACTCGAGCAGGGTTGCCAGCAAATGCAGGAGGCCCCTTCTAGGGTACAGGCTTTCAAACCAGCGAAGCCAGAGGGAATGGATTTAAGGACACACAGCAGGAGCTGGCTGAATTTATTTTATTTTGACGGGGGTAGCTGGGGGAGGAATATCATTTCTGAAATGCCCAAGCAATGAAGGGAGAGGATATGGATTTCTTAAACAGTTTTTGCAAGAGGAGCGGTGTCTTGTTCTGCAGGTAAATCTATAAGGCGAGAAATTGGAGCTTAAAGATAAACAAGGACGGAGAGAGAGGGAAGGGGAAGGAGACAAGAGAAGGGAGAGGGGCAGGGGATGGGGACCTGGGGACGGGGAGAGAGGGGAAGAAGGGGAGAAGGACAGAGGGGCGAGGGGAAAGGAGAAGGAAGGGAAGAGAGAGGAGGGAGGAAAGAGGAGGGTAAGGGGAGGAAGGGGGAGGGGAGGGATGAGGAAGAAAGAGTGAAATAGAAGGAGGAGGGGTGGGGGTGAAGGGAAAAGAGAAGAGTCTGGAAGGAGGAAGGACTGAAGAAGAAAAGCAGGGAAGCGAGGAGGGAAGAATGAGACCGAGAGGAAGGAAAAGAGAGGAAGAAGTGGTGAGGCACATAAAATATGGAGACCAGGAAGGCAGTTAGATCCATGATGCTTTAACATAAAGAGATCAGAGGGGCAGGTGAGGAGAGCCACTGCAGAATGAGGCAGGGGTTGGGTTTTCTGCACAGAAAACAAAGGATACACAGTGGAGGGGCTCACTCCAGTGATCAGACACATTTCAAAAAAGCAGATTGCCAGGGTTCAACATTGTCTCTTTAAGTAAACCCTTATTTCCTCCTCCTTCCCTGCCTACACCCTTCCTCCAACACCCACCTCCACCTTCCTTCATTCACTTCTTGTTGCCAGCATGATCTTCCCCTGGAGAATTCTCCAGTAAAATTCAGACACGGATCCCCCTTCCCCGGCCAAAAAAAAAAAAAAAAAAAAACAACAAAAACCGCCACCCTTAACACTCAGTAGCCCCCTTTTTTTTTTCCCGCTCTGTCCACAGAGGGCCCTGACTCCTCTTATCTAAAGACTGAGCTGTTTGTGACCATCTGCACTTTGTTTAAACCCAGATGATACTACGTTTCCCTCAAGCCCAGGACCTCAGGGCTGTTTCGCTTGTACTTGCTGCCATAGTGGGGCTGGTCAGTTTCCATTAGCCTTGTCATCAGGACTAGGAAGAGTCTTGGGAGCACAGCGAGGAGTTCAGTGCATGTCTGTGTTCACCTGCAGCACAGAGCACTAGTGGGGGAGAAAAAGAGGTGGGGGGCTGGGGAAGAGATCCCTTAATATGGTCACTGATCCTCTCTGACTTTCTGATTCCAAA